GGACTCGTCCGGCCTTGCCAAACCTGGCTGAGACCTGGGTTTAATTTTTTTATATCCTCATGTTCGAAACGACATCATTTTGGGCTTTTATAATTGAAAAGCCAAAATAACAAGAGTAGAGGGACGAGCGCATTGCAAAGCAACAAAAGTGAGAAGAAGACCTAATTAATTCCAAGAAATCATTAAACCCATTTCACTCTCAGTCGCGAAGAAGAGCAGAAGACTCTTGAATCCTTGATTGCCATTTCAATTCTAAGCATAAGGTTAGATGAGTTTTTACTTGTTTCTTTCTTCTTTCGCCTTTCACTATCCTCTATTTCATTTTCTTCTCTATGTTGAACTTGTAGGATAGTATAACAGTGGCATCAATTCTTCCTTCTGTTGACCCATCGGTTCTTCCCTCTGTTCACCCATCAATTTTTCCCACTGTTCACCCATCGATTCTTCCCACAAGTATGTATCTCATTTTCTTTGTTCTTCTATTTTTCTACAACTTCAAATGGTCAAATACATGTTTGTTTGCTCTGAATATTGTTGTGAATACTGCTATGAAATGTGAATATTTCATTCGTTAATTTTTGTAGCTGTGAATATTTTACAAGTAGCTGTGAATGTTGTTGTTAATTTTGGCTGTCTTTGTTTTTTTACTTCTGCTTAAGTTGATATTGGTTGTCCTGTCCCTATTCGTTTGCTTCTGCTTCTGCTTCTGTTGATGCTTAAATTGAATCAGAATTTGAGACTATCCCCATGTTAATTTGCTCACTGAAAAAGAACTAGCAGTTTTATTTTTTATTTTATCCATGTTGGCCATTTTAGTTTTTTGTAATATTGATATATCAATTTTATGGATGGTGTTGACCATTTTAGTTTTCTGTGATGTTGATATAATGGATTAGTTATTATTGAACTACAATTATGAGAATTTGGGTGGGTTGGCCATTTACTGTTTTCCTGTTCAATTTTCAATTTTTAGTTGTGAGAATTTGGATTAGTTATTTCAGTTTTCAGTTTTCTTGTTTGTTTACTTCTGCTTAAGTTGATATAATGAAATCAGAATTTTGTTATAGAAATGAATTGAAACTTTAATTATGGTAGTAATCTTATAAAGTATGTCAGGTCCTTAAAATGTCTTCACATGATGGTAGTACTCCAAGTAGTGATCCTTCAATGGCTCAATCATCTCAACCTTCAATTTCCATGTCAAGTGGTAGTAGAGGAAGAACAGATTTGACATGGGGTCATTGTAGAGAAGCTCCTGAACTTAGTGTTGGATGTAAAAAAACTAAATTAGTATGTTTATATTGTGCTAAAGTATTTACGGGTGGTGACTTTAATCGATTTAAGCAACATTTAGCTGGAGTTAAAGAAGAAGTTGAACAATGTCATAAATGTCCTCTTGATGTTCGACATCAAATGCTTTTGAACCTTAAAGAAAATGTTAACAAAAAAAAAAGTTAGAGAAATGCAAGCAGATTTCAATCCATTTAATGCACAACAAAGGGAGCATGAAGAGATGATGATTAGGCAATTAGAAGATGATGATGGTGATGATGATGAGGAGGAGGAAGATGAGGATGTCAATAATAAAAAAAACATATGTCACCACCAAAGGTTGCAAAAAAGAAAAAGATTCAAAGCACCAATACTATAAAACAATCAACTGCAAGTTATAGAAAGCAGAAAAAATCTACAACATTAAGGAAATATTTCATGTCGATAACAACTCCTGGTGCTTAAAAGTCACTTCAGAATTATTGGCAAAGAAAAGAAGTAGTTGAACGGTGTGATTTTACTTTAGCGAAGTGGATGTTTGATGCATATGTGCCATTTAATGTTGTTAACTCTGTGTATTATCAGCATGCTATAGATGCTTTAATAGCCATGGGTCCTGGTTATAAAGGACTAAACTTGCATGCTATTCGTGATTATTATTTGGCAAAAGCAGTTGATAAAGTGAAATTTATATTAAGAGTTATCGAGAGATTTAGAAGAAGACTGGTTGCACATTAATAGCTGATGGATGGACAGATAAGAAGAGGAGGATTTTAATTAACTTCTTAGTATATTGTCTTAAAGGAACAGTTTTTTGAAGACCATAGATGTATCAAATGTCTCAAAGACTGTTAGATTATTGTATTAGTTGTTTAAAGAGGTTGTTTTGTATTTTGGGGTAGAAAATATTATGCATATGGTGACTGATAATGCTGCAAATTATGTTGTTGCTGGCAGGTTATTGATGGAAGAATTTCTTTCAATATTTTGGTCTTCTTGTGCTGCTCATTGCATCAACCTCATACTCTAGGATATTGGTAAATTGCAATCAATTTGTTGTGTTGTTGAGTATGCTTTTGGTATCACAAAGTATATTTATAATCATTGTTATCCATTGTATTTGATGAGGAAGTTCATTGGAGGAAAAACAATACTTCGTCCAGCTCCTACTCATTTTGCCACTAATTTCATTGCATTGCAAAGAAATTTAACTCATAAAGATGAGTTGAGAGCTATGGTGACATCTAGGGAATGAGTCTTATTTGCTTATGCTAAAAATATCAAAGGAAAGAAGTTTATTGAGAGTGTGCTAGACTCTTTGTTTTGGGAAAAATATGCAATAATTGTGCGAATGAGTTAACCTTTAGTTCGAGTTCTACGATTGGTTAATGGTGATGATAGACCTTCAATGGGATATTTGTAAGATGCTATTTATCATACAAAATAAGAAATGATGAGGAGATTTCAAAAGAGAAAGCCTAGAGTGAAACCTTTCACAAACATTATCAATAATCAATGGAATGACTAATTTTATATAAATATTTATGCAGCGACATTTTAGTTGAATCCTTGATTTTAATATGATACAAATATAATGGATAAACATATGAGCACCATTTCTGGACTTCTAGATGTTCTTGAGAAGTATGCACATGGAAATCTACCATTGCAAAGTAAGATTACAAGTGACATGAAATTTTTTAGGAATGCTGAATATGACTTTGAACAAGTGTCCACAATAAATAATCGCACCCTTATGCCTCCAGGTATATAATTTTTATATTTAAAAATATTTTTTTTGACATAGTCTTATAGTTTTACTTATTATTTTTTTGTATAGATGAATGGTGGATGACATATGGAACCAGCACTCCAAATCAATAACAATTGGCTATACGAGTGTTAAGTCAAACTTGTAGTTCTTCAGGATGTGAGAGAAATTGGAGTATGTTTGAACATATTCATTCCAAAAAGAGAAATAGATTGGAGCACCAAAGGTTTAATGACCTTGTTTACGTCCACTGCAATCTAAGATTGAAACAAAAGTATTTTTCTTTTCTCTAATTCCTTAAATTTTATTTTATCTTGTTTAGTAGCATTATTAATGCTTATATTATGTTTACCTTCACATTTAATATATAGGAATTATTAGAAAGGATGAAATTATGATCCAATTAATGTTGAGATAATTTTTGACATTGAAAATTGGATAGTTGAAGATCGCCCATTAATCTTGACAGCAAAAAAAGTAGAGAGTTTTCACCAAGCTCTTTCGACTATGACCATATAAGATACTTTAGATGATGATAATTAATGATTGATTATTTAGTGATGAATATTATTTAAAATAAAGTATTATTTAATACATAATATTTATTTGTTAATTATGTTTGGAATGTAGATGTCATAAATGTTAATGAGATTGAAGATGATTGTGATGATGGAGTTTCAAAAGAATATGTTGATGATTTATTAGGTGTTGACGAGATTGACTCATTTCCATCGACATTTGATCCAAATTTTGCTCCTATGGACTCAGAAGAACTTAATGTGTTCATTCAACAAAAGTGAATATGTTGTTGATTTAGAATTTATGTTGCTGAATGTTTTGTTTAAAATATTTTAGAATTTATGTTGTTGCTTGTTGGATGTTTTGTTTAAAATATTTTAGAATTTATATTTGGTTTGTGTTTTGGATATTGAATTAAATTTATATTGTTGGTTTAAAATTTAAATTTGGTTTATGTAAGTGTTGCATTGTAAATTTGTAATTAGTTAGATATTTTATATAGGTTTTTTTTTGGGTTGACCCGTCTGACCCGTGACCTGATTACTGAACCGGGTCGATGACCGAGTTGGGTTTTAAAACTATATATTTTTACAATAAATTACCTTATATCAAATTATATTTATCAAATAATATAATATATTTATTAACAAATTAAATTATATAAAATATTGTTTATTAGATTATTAAAGTCACTAAAAAAACAAGTTAACTGCCTAAATTCATTTCCTGGCTAACACGTGTTGTAGCTATCAAAAACATTATTATTACTACGCTGCTGTGAGAGGGAGTTTTTTTTCTTATTAACATAGAAAAAGAGTGCCGAGTTTTTTTTTTCATCAAGAAAAAATTAATTATAAATTAAAAAGTTAATAATTGTATTTAATAAAATAAATTAAAAATTATATATATAAATAATAAATAATAATAAATCTATTGATTACATCCAAATATATCTGAAGTGATTTATTATTTATATAACCAATGTTAAGGAGGTAAAAAATAGCTTGGAAGACCTAATTAAAAGAAAAAAAAAATTCGAGGTGGTCAACAACTTCCATATCAAGTTTCTTTAATGTATAAGATAATTATTGATAAAAATAAATAAAAATAATACTTTAATCTAAACTTAATAAACAACTATTCAAATTAACCTAAAAGTTTATAGAAAGTTATTTTATTTGATATGTAATGCATATGATATAAAACCCTTATCCAAGATTATAACATATGTTATTTTTTTATTAATAATAAATAATAATTATAAAATAAATATCTATATAGATACCCACAGCATAACAGATAAAGTATGGAAATTATCTATACCAAAAATATACAGCATAGATATAAAGAAGACGACCCGTGACTACCCAGTTTGGATGAATCAAACTTGACATTTTCTCTCGAAAAACATCAGAAACGAAAAAGAAAAGAGACCTTCCTTCCCCAGGAAGGGAATTGATTGACAAAAAGACACAGCACACGTGCGTGTCTTTATATATATATATATATGATCACTCACAGGCGAAGGCAATAATAACGAAAGAAAGAGAGAGTGGAAGGACGCATGAATAATAAGAGAGCAATGTACAAATCAAAGCTGCAACAACTGTGCCAGCAGAGAGGATGGGGGATCCCTACCTATGAAGTCACTAAAGAGGGACAGGAGCACAGCCCTCACTTTTATGCCACTGTCACCGTCGACGCCACCCTCTTTTCCACTCCTTTCCCCTCTTCTTCCACCAAGAAAGCTCAGAACGACGCTGCTAAGCTCGCCTACAACTACTTCTCCGACCACCCTCGCCCTTCCTCCTCCTCCCCCCTTAATGGTAATTGAATCCCTTTTTTTTCTTCATTTCTTCCCTTTTTTGTACTTCCTTGTGCTTTAATTGCACTGTATCAGATATTTTAAAGACTTTATAGGCTTTGTTTTTAATGAAATGAAATTATTTTGTAAAGTCATGTTTGATTAAGAATGAATGCTTGCATAAGAACGCTTGCTTCTTATAATTTATTTATTTTTCGTTGATAGAATGTATGGACTGATGCCTGTAATCATGAAGCTTTTTATGATAAATCATTCTAGTTGTGCCTATGCTTATTTACACTGCATCAAGAAATGAAGAAACTGATGTTATGCTGAAGTTTCTGCAGACTGTTCGGGTGGAAGTGCTGGGAAGAATACTTGTCCATCTCCCGGAGGGAAATTGGAATTAAACCTAGAAGATGCAAATCGAACTCCCCTGTCAAATAAAACCGGGGCAGTTGCCAAGACTGATGAGAGTTTTGGAGGTGAGAGCGAATTTAGTTTTGATTTTTTCTTCCTTACAAAATCATTACCGTTTCTTAGTGCTGGAGTGGAGTCAGTTGGATGTGCTTGATACTCATGGTTGCATTCCAAAACGGCAATAGGTTTTCCTCCCTAAATTGACAGGCACGAAAACAGGTTATATGCACAGTATCTAGAAATTTTTTTTGCTAAATCAGTTGTTTTTATGTCGTCAAAAGATTAACCAGCCTCCTTTAAGAAAACAAAAAAATTGTTCGTATTCAGTTTATGAGAAAAATGAAAGGAACTAAATACTTACCATAACCACATGGCTGAGCTGCCAAATATAACAGAGTTTATGAAAATTCTTGATTGTTGAAGATGGGTTAGATCACGAATCTTGCTTTCCAGCCATACTTGTGGTGAATGGACTCTTCCCCATGCCCAAATCTCAACAACTAGAGCTAGAAGAAGTCCTTTTAAGATGCTACTAAGCTTGCTCTGATGACTTCTCTTGTGTCTATTTCCCTTGTGTCTCATTCAATACTTTTTTTTTTTGGGAATATAGAATGGAGGAAAACATAAGAACTTCTACTTCAATTGTTCTATCAGTCCTTTCTTTGTTTATTATTGTTATTGTATTTTCTCTGTACTCAGTTGTGCCTTGCTTGGCTGTTGAGAATCTGCTGCCTGTAATCAAAATCATTGTTTTGTAATTGGGTAATTTAATTCATTTGGTAGCTTATAGGTTTGCATTGTATAGTATAAAAGGGGAAAGGAGGGACTTTTATATTTAACGCGCTGTTGATTGCGAAGTTATTGCAGCAAATGAGAAACTGAATTCTGATTGAAGGAGGTAGTAGCATCAACTGACCATGGAAACCTGATATTGAATCACCTTATTTTGTGTCTTCAATAACGCCCCTGTTTATTTTGTGCTTTCATGACAAGTCAGTATTTGACACATGCATCTGAATTTTCTCCTGGCTTACAGGTATGCTGCACTTGTTTAAAAACCAGCTGCAAACGTATGCTCAAAAGAGAAATTTCAGTCTACCTGTGTATTCTTGTGAGCGTGTGGGTCCTCCTCATGCTATTCGCTTTAAGTGCAAGGTCACACTGAATGGACAAACCTATGAGAGTCGGGAATATTTTCCCACATTGAGCAAAGCTGAAAATGCAGCTGCAAAAGCTGCATTGATGTCATTGTTGCCAAATGGAGTTGAAGAGGTTATTTTTCTAAATCAACTCCTTGTGGAGATGCAAAAATCTGTTGGTTACGCATGCAATTTTTGTGTTTGTATCTTTTAAACACATGATTACACTTCTTTATGTAATTTATTGTTTTCTTTTTAGGATGAGTCTGGCTATAAGAATCTTTTACAAGATATGGCTCAGAGAGAAGGTTGTGGTTTACCAACTTATTGTACAGAGAAATCTGGTGAAGCTCATGCGCCTACTTTCATTTCAACAGTGGTGATAGATGGAGTGACTTTTACTGGAAAAGAAGCAAGAACCAAGAAGCAAGCTGAGATGAGTGCAGCAAAGACTGCATACACAGCTCGAAGACGTTGACTGGTGCTCAATGGGGATGCGGGTTTATGTTATGTATTTATGCATATCCATGGCAGATGTGCGCATGCATATGACACCATAGAACAGAGTACAGATATTCAAACGTTTTTTACTATCTTAGAGTACAAGTCGGTAAGTCAGGATAGAGAGTAACTCAAACTTGCGTCTTCTTGCTATTTTAGATGATTTAGCATGAATAATACCTACCTCCAAGTAGAAGCTTTTACTGTGATTTAAGATGAACTCACAAAAATCTTAAATGTAGTGGTGTTACTCAACTGGGTGGCCACGAGATGAGACCGCTCCACTGAGGGAGGAGGTCACCGCAAGGTTACTCTATAGTTTTGTTGAAGAATAGAAAACCATTCCTAGTTTCAGAACCTTCTTTTGATGTCATTTTCTACCTGTTTGTATATTCTAACGGGCCAATATATTTATCGAATGCTTTCTTGTCTGCTTTCCAATTCCAGAGAAAAGATTTGCTGGTTTCAACTGATGATCACTATATTTGCATTTTCTTTCCAAAAGAATAAAAATATTGGAATTGCTGGCTGCAAATTCTGTAGTTAGCAATCATAATCCCTCATTGCATCTCCAGGGCAAGATAATTGTTCAGCTATGGCAAGCATCCCACCTTCGCCTGCCGCAGCCATCTCGTCTTCGCCTAAACATGACCTGACTTCATCTTCTTTGCCTTCTGATTCCCCCACTAATTTAGCCACAGGCTCAAGCATCGAGAATCAAACACAGCCTACAACCTTAAAGATGAACAATTCAAGTAACATGGATGAGCTTCCTCTCTCGTAATCCAATATTCAAAATTCAATGTTATAACTGTCGTCAAAAAGTAAAAAAATAAGATCCCATTAATCATGGATTCCAGATGCTTTTTAGGCTTTCTCCCCAGTAGAGAGACTGATAACTCTGAAAACCCTGAATCGAGTCGAAGCACCAAGAAAGTGAAATTGATAGACAAAGAGTTGGAGGTTGGAACTGATGATGGTCTTGTTACTATTTGCTTATTTGCAAGTGGACACCATAGATTACAAGAAGGCGGTGATAAGAGGGGAATGAGTCTGAAGCAGTAGTAGTACCAGCCTTCCAGGGGCTATCTCATTGACAATATTGATGTGGAGATGGAGATGTTGTTGTTGACGAAGCCTTTTCGAGTGACTGATCAAGATAATGATTATTTCTTCAATTTTTGGAACAAGCTGCTGATTATGTGCATGCTTTGGTTAGTGGTCCGTGAGCAATCTTGGGTCATTGTTTAACAAACCAGCCAAAGGATTGGACCTAATTTAGGTTAAAACTTGATTGAAAATTAATTTTTTATATAAGTTATTTAATATGAAATATTAATATGATTTAAGTAAATTATAAATAAATAATAAATTGAATCATTGATTGACATACTTGTTGTAAAACATAGAATATTCTATCTTAGGTATGAAATATACAAGATTATATATATTTATATATATAGTTTATTTAATAAAAAGTTGAAGGGTCATAAATAACTCAACTATATGATATGAGTTTAATTCATAAGTGTGCATTTGGCTTGAATTCATTAGCTTGAATCTATTTTAGTCTTCAATTTAAATTTATTATTATAAAATGATTTTTTGACCTATAAAAATTTATTTTTGCCAACCTCTTGTTTTATTTAGTTAAACAAATAAATTTGAGTATTTTTTTTTCAAATTTTTTTTTTTAAAAAACCTAAATAGTTTTCTTAGCTTAAAAATATCAAATTTAATGCCAAAATATTCATGTTTAATTTTGATTTTATGTGAGATAATCAAAACGGGTAATGTTGGGAATTAATCTAGGTAATTATCAAAATTAATTGTTTATTAGTTTTGGTTCCAAAATCCACTATAAAAAAAAAGAGAGGGTATGAAACAAGAGTTTTCTATACCATTTTTTAGAATTTTTAGACTCTACTTTGCATCATATTTCTAATGTTATCTCCTCTTTTTAGCTTTGTTTTAAGCTATATAAGGTTAGTTTTAAGCTATATAAGGTTAGGTCTATCCTTGATAAGATATATCTCAGCTATATTATATTACGTTTGATTCATAAATATTTTTTAGAGGTTTTTAGAAGATATATCTCAGTTATATTATATTATGTTTGATTCATAAATATTTTTTAGAGGTTTTTAGAAGATATATCTCAGTTATATTATATTATGTTTGATTCATAAATATTTTTTAGAGGTTTTTAGAAGTCCATCTAAGTAATGTAGTATTGTTGGAATCTTAAAAAGTTTATTGTAAATATCATTTATAAGAAACATATCAAATTTAATACCGAAATATTCAAGTTTAATTTTGATTTTATGTTAGGTAATCAAAGGGGGTAATGTTGGGAATTAATCTAGGTAATTATCAAAATTAATTTTTTATTAGTTTTGATTCCAAAATCCACTATAAAAAAAAGGGCATGAAAGAAGAGTTTTCTATACCATTTTTTAGAATTTTTAGACTCTACTTTGCATCATATTTCTAATGTTATCTCCTCTTTTTAGCTTTGTTTTAAGCTATATAAGGATAGGTCCATCGTTAAAATATATGTCAGTTATATTATATTACCTTTGGTTTATAAATATTTTTTAGAGGTTTTTAGAAGTCCATCTAAATAACGTAGTTTGTTGGAATCTTGAAAAGTTTATTGTAAATATCATTTACAATAAACAATAAAATCTTAAGGATAAATAATATATCATTAACAATAACAACACTTCTTCATTTTTAAAGTATTTTAGAAAGTAAATACTCTTCTTTAGTTTTGTTTAATCTAATACATTATTATGCATATAATAATTGTTTTTCAATCTCTTATACTTTTTTGGATATATTCTCAAAATATTTACTACAATCTTTATATTTTATAATATTTACAAGTTTGCTATTATGTATAAAATTACATGCTTATAGTTTTAACATGTATGAATACTAGAGTTTCATTGAATGTATAATTTATATAGAATGCTTTTCTTATGATAAACTAAATATCAAAGCTTACTTGTCTAATTATTTTAGATTACAATCTTAAAGCTTTATTATTTGAATTTTTTTTGTTTAGTTTATACATGTAATTTCACAATCTTGTATGATATATTTATTCCATTTAAAGCAATTTCTATGCATGATGCATGTCACATTTTTTCCCCAAACATCTAAAAATTTATTTTTGTTTAGTGAATGCTTATTTTTGCAATCTTGTTTATATGTTTATGCATATCATTTAGTTTTTATTCTAAATTATAATGATATGATGCATGTTTAAAAGAACTAAAATAATATTAAAATGTTTATTTAATCTTGTATAGTTGGAATATTTTTGTTTGTTTACTTGCTTTATAAGCTTTATGTTAGATGTTTTTCTTTTCATGTGAGGATCCAAAACTTATTTATAAATATATGGCTATTACTTTTTTATTATATATATATATATATATCTAGATTTTATGATGATTTCAACTCAATAATTGGTTGTCTCAGCCAATGTTGTTTCGACAAGTACTTTTTATGAAGATTTCATAAGATTTTCTATAATGCTTAATGAGAAACTTGAAAAACTTAATGGATTGAACTTTAAGAGATGATAAAAAAAAAATTATTTCATCTAACCACCTTGAACTTGATAAAATTCTTGACATCTAACCACCTTGAACTTGATAAAGTTCTTGACCAAGGAAGTGTCAAAGTTGCCAAATAATAATCAAATCCCATTATTGTGATAGCTATGAATGCATGGAATTATAATGATTTTGTATGCAAAAACTACATTTTAAATGGAATGGACAATACATTAAATAATGTATGTAGTTCAATAAAGGTTAAAGATGCCCGTATGAAAAAAATTCATAATCGATAAATTTTAAAATTTTAAAATGGTTGATTTAAGAATTGTTATGAGCCAAGTTCAAGAATTTCACCTCATCTTATATGATATTCATGATGAAGGTATGTTACTAAGTGAATCATTCCAGGTGGGTATAATAATTGAAAAATTACCACCATCTTGGAAGGACTTTAAGAACTATGTTATGTATAAGCATAAGAAAATAAGAGTTAAAGATATCATTCCAAGGTTAAGGATAAAAAATGACAATAAGTTATTTGAAAAAAGAGCTAGCTCTTTCCCTTTTCTTTTGATATCTGGCCAAACAAGCCATTGTTGAATATGAGCAAATTCCAAAAACAATTAGGGATCTTTCTAGATTTATTAATAGGTCCCTTATATTTTTTTATTTGTTTTGTTTTGATAGCTTTATGATATATTCAATTTGTGGACTTTTACTATTACATATGAATATGAATTAGATGTGTTGTGATGAAATAAATAAAACTTATTTAACAAGTCTGTTTTAATTTTTATCAATTCTATTGTGAAGTTGTGATTTTCATAAATTTATATATGTATAAATTTGAATGACATTGATAGTTGATAATTGATAATAAATATTTAACATAAATGTTTTTTAGTTTGTTTCATAATGTCGGGGCAAACCAATATTTTTGTAAATTTGTTTACGTAACATAGTTAATTAATACATATTATCGTCATAATTTTATAGAGATTCGATAGAAGTCATGGATGATCTATTCATGGATGTATCAAGACTTACCCTAAGGATTGTAGAGGATGAATTATTGTAAAGAGATGTAGGGTTTATTAATTCGCAACATCTATTCCGAGAAATTTTATTGATGGCGATATTAGGTGTCCATGCATGAAGTATAAAAATAAAAAGTTTTTGCTTCAAGAAGTTGTAATGATGTATCTTCTGACAAAAGGGTTCATGAAAGATTACCTGTATTGGTATGCACATGAAGAACTATTTGTTCTTAATGAGAGCATGGTAGAAAGGGTGATTGAGTTGATTTCTAGTGTTAGTAACTTGTATGAAGTTGGAAATGACAACAATAATCCTTACAGGAATATGACTATGGATGTAATGAGAATGAGTAAAGGTAATGTCAATGAATGTCCAATTAGAAGAAAAAACTAATGCAAATGCAGTAAAGTTTTTTGATTTGTTGAAAGATTCTAATGAACCATTATAGGATGGCTGCATAAACCACAATACGTTATTAGTCGTAGCACAAGTGTTCTTCATCATGTCAGATCACGGGTTGAGTGAGGCCGGTTATGACAAGGTTATCAAATGGGCG